AAAGAAAGAAATTGGTGGCATCAAATCCCAGAACAGGAAGCCTCCCTTCACGAGCATAGGATTTGAGAGCAGTTTCAATCACCCCAGAAACAACCTCTTTCTCGTTCACCACAAACCTTATGGGCCCCGCACTCCCCATTATGTTGATCGTCACCAGAAACCTAGTACTCTTCTTCCTTGTCTCATCCTCGTACCTTCCCTTTTTCTTGTTCTTCTGCAACACCATCTTCTCAAAACCACTCTTCATCGTACCACACGTTCTTCTTCCTTCAAATTCGGTACCCACCCAGATGAAAAATGGCCCCAAAGGTCGCTGCTTTTCAAGGGTCGAGGCCTAGGCAGCGATAGTACCACACAGTTTTGGAGGATCCGAAGGAAGAAGAAGACAACGCGTGAAGAACGGTGCCACGCGATGAAGCGGTGGAGCAGAGCATGAAAGAAAGAGATAAACTCAAACCCAACATTCAAGGCAAAGTAGTGAAGAGGATTGAAGAAGAATGCATTAACACGAGTCAGATGAAAAACACAGAACTTAAGGTGTGAGCATCGTTCTGCAGCAACTCAAAGTTTAAGCAGTTTATATCTGTGTCTCTGTATATATTAATAATTTATTTTTTTAGTTTATCTAATTATTTTCTGGAAAAAAAATATTATTCTGTCTTGTTTTAGATCGTTCATTAATATTAATATATATACACAGAAACATACACTTTTGACTTTATTCGATTTCTCCATTCTAGGACCACCTTTAAATTATACTGTTTACTCAATGTATTATTTATTTCACTCCAAAAGTTTATTAGTATCATACAACTCCCTTCATTTCTTTATTGAATAATTCGTTAGGTTGTTTTGAATATATGACGAAAAATGTGTTAATTTCAGTAGAATATTTATAAAATTGTCAATTTTATTTTACATTAAAATAAGATTTTTTCACCAATCTCAATTAATTTATTTTTGAAATTATTTTTTCGAATTGATTTTTAAAGAATAATCTTTAGGATTAGTTTGTGTCTCGTTCACACGAGATCATTTAAAAAAGTTATCACCATTTTTAACAACTTTTTGTGTTGTGGAGTTGAAGTAGTTGAAACACAAGACAATCTCTCTGTAATTGTTGAAGTCATGAAGATATAAAAGATTAACTTAAATATAATTTTGATATAAATATGTTTAAAGTAACATATTGTCTCGCATCTATAAATATCACGATAACACTCTTTCCAAATGACTTGCAAATAATTTATTAGTTTTCATTTAAGTCTTTTTATTACTCTTTCTATCATTGTAATTTCTTTTTATTAAAAGATTCAAAATATGATGAAGGCATTGAAAAACAATACTTAAAAAGGTGGTTTCATCCCAAGATTCTTTTCTGTAAATTTGTCTCCTTTACAAAAGCTATTGAATGACTAAACCTTAATATTGTAGTTAAAAATTTAATATATTTAAATAATGAAAAAATGGGGGAGGTGTAGGTGAGAGGAATGATGAAAAAGATGAAAAGTTAGATTTTTGAGGCTCTAAATTGTGGATTATGATATTGGGAATGAAGAAGAAAAAGGGAATATCCCATTGGTGGGAGATTCTTTTTGAAGGGTTGCATGGCGCAGGCAAGTTTGCATCGTGCAGTGAAGGATGGAGCAGGTAAGGTCTTCGATAAACCTTTCTTTATTCTTTCTTTTCTTTTCATTCTTAAACTAATTTCAAACTCAGCATCTTCTATCTCCCAATTCAACTTCACCACCCTTTTCTTAATTTCTTACGTCTCTCTCTCATATCCAATTATATCTTCCTTATGCTTTTATGGCTCATCTTTTTCGAATGGTTGGTTTCTAAAATTTCCTGTTTTACGTTTTTATTCTTGTCCTTTTCTTTTTCTTTTTAAAGATTTCACTAACAAAATTCATTTTAGTGATCAAAATTTTATCTCTAACTAAAACTAGAGACCGATTTAGTGATTAATTCCTTTCATAGTCAAAAAATTGATAACTAATATTAATAATAAATTTTAAAACCAATTCACAAAGCAATTGTAATTTTTTATTTATAATAAAAAATTATTTTAGTTGTCAATAAATTTCATTTTATAATTATTATCTAAGGTGGTCGTTATAATAATTAATTATTTTTTATCATTATTTAAAAAATTTCTTGTAATATTTTTACTATCTAATGACAGGCATATTATCTATTTTGAGTCTTTTTTAAATATAATTTAAAGAGACAAATTCAGAATGGAAAAAAATATTATATGAAATAAAAGGAAAATTGAATATCGTGAGGAGACTGAACAAAATAATAAAACCAAAATACGATATAAAAGTATGGATTTCCAATTAAATTTTGTGAAACCCAAACAACAAAAAAACTCTGCCGTTGAAACATCCGATAAGACAATAAATTTAAGATTTTAATTTTTAAATAAAACTTTAAATAATTAAAAATATTTATTTATATTAGAAATTCTTTTTAATTCAAAAAATTTATTAAACAATAATAAATATTTTTATGTTGAACCATATAAATTACATATCAATATACGTCTAAATAATAACATTATTATTATTATCATTATTAACGCACTTGGCTAAAATAAATGATAATTACAAGTAAGTAATCTTAAGTTTATATATATATATATATATAATTAAGATATATATCATAAGACAATACTTTTAGATTGAGATGATATATAGGAATAAATAATAGATAATATTAAATACACATTAAATGTTTGCGTGCAAAGACTCTATGATGTTGGCTTTTATCTATATTAGGACAGAGATTAATTTTAATGTATTCTTAAAACAAAGATATTTACACCGTTTATTAGTTACTAATTATTTTATATTTGATTTAGAGTAAATATTATTTTTCGATATATTTTATATAAAAATGGAAAAATGAATCAATTGGTTTGATCAGACTCACAATCGATTAGTTATTTAATGAATTTATTCAATTCCAATCACTTATTAATAAGTTAAAATAAATTCGAACACAGCTTAATTATATAAATTGATGGATCAAATTAATTGACTTAATTAAAAAATTATAATTGTTTTTCAATCCTAAATTATAATTTTGATTAAAATCTAAATAAAGTTAAGGCATATTATAGGTTGATAGGTTGAGGAAGCTACCTTCAACTAAAAGAAAAGGTAATAAAAGCCAAAGGAAAGTGGCATTAAGTTTTGTCATTTTACTTTTTGAATTTTTATTTTATACACTTTTACACAGCTGTATTTGTAATTAAGTATACAAAATTATTGTCAATATATAACTTAAACTTTAGATTTGTAATTAAGTATACAAAATTTACTAGGATATTGTAGCCATCAATAATTCCGATTAAATTTAAATAAAAATTATGTATTAAAATATAATAAAGTCATATATACGTTAAAAGTTAAAAGATAAAGTAGTTTGAGATTTAATATTTTAAAATGAAACTAATGCTAATCAATAATTAAAATACATGTTGTATAAAAGTATAATTGTTTACCATAGTTTAAAATATATTCTACGAACTTAAAAATATGTATTTGTTATATAATTTCTTTTTAATTATCTTGTGTAATATAAAAGTTAAAACGTTATTTTACGAAAGTTTTTTTAATTATATTTTTCATTTACAGTTTGAGATTTTGTTCAAAATAGTTATCGTGTCCCATTCTACTGTAGTGATATTCAAGTTTAAAATAATACTTTATGTAAGAGTTAATACCTCTCTAGTCAATTGAGAAAAGACTGTCTTTTATATTTTATGGTGAATAATTAGACACTTGGATGATTATAAGTCATCAATAATTCGGACTAAAATATTTGTTGACAATAATTATTGCTCTTTTTTAATCACTCAGAAGTAATCATTATGCAGATATTATATAAAACAAGTAGTCTTTCACCGGATAATATACATGGAAGAAATATTTATTTTATATAATTAATATTTGTAATACACAAATATTTTTTCGTAACAAGCAACAATGTTGTATTTGAAATTATAATAAACAGATATTGTTTGAGTGTATAAGTTATTTTTTAAAATTTAGAATGAACAATTTACTTTGTGGTATTTGTTTGTAACTATATGTTGATAATTTCGTCTAGAAGTTTATCGGAATTCAATTTAGAATAGACACCAAATATTATAAGCGTAAAAATATAAAGATAAAACATGGTTCGTGAGAGTTTTATTTAGGAGGTTTGTTAGTTAGATATAGTTTTAAAATGTAAATATTATTTTGAAATGATCCTTTGAAAAACATCTGATTATATTTCAGGATATATATTTGACATGGTTTTGGCTTACGTATCTGGAAACCTCTTCTTCATTTAACTTTTTGTTAACAAAAATGTGTAGTTTACTTATTTTTAATATATCTCAAATATCATTGATTCTGTAAGTGCTAAGGATTTCAAAAGAAGTATTTATCCATCAAATAGATGTGTGCAGGTGCAGGAAGAAAGAAAATTAAACTCCTTTACTATGTTCCAGATTTGTTATTTCAATTTTTATGCTTACTATTAAATCTGTCACAACTATGGATGCTTATTTAAAAATGCAACGAGATAATGGAATGCATTTTCATGCTATCCATATAATATGTTGCCTTTTTCTGCTACATTTCCCCCTTTAAGAATCAGAGTTTGTAATTAATTCGGTAAATTTTGAATTTGCTATTTGAGACATTTTAATTAATTTAGTGATTTTTTAAATATCAATCTATTTAATAGTGTAATTTCTTTAATTTGAATTTAGTATAAATTTTACAAGATAATTTGTGAATCCACTATAGTTGATTTTTTTTAAAATATTGTCATTTAAATTTAAATTACTTCAAGTTTTATTTTCATCTTACAACCTATTCTATCTCATTTTCGCCTCAATCTTAAGAAAATGACCAAATATATCCAACAACTACTTCGTGAAAAAAAAAAGTTGTACACATTGTATGCCATGTTCATTGACTATTACAAGCATAAAATGAGTTAGAATTGCAACTTAAAATTTTAAAATTAGTTAAAATTTAATATAAGGAAAGTGAAGTGTTGGTGGGTATTTATAACAACGAAAATTTAAATAACTTAGACAAAATAACACTCCAGTTTATGCGTATTCTATTACTATAAATGAAAATATGGATCATTACTCAACAACTAACAAATTATTTTTTGTCAACCCTTCACCAATAATGGGGAATTCTGGGGACAGCTGCCATTCACCATCTACTAAGAATTTGATTTCATACCTACACAACAATTATTGTTTTTGAGTTTGAAGAATATCCAGGTTAGAAAAGGTGATTTCAAAAGCTACACAAGTTTAGAAAAACGGTACCTTCCTGGCCTGAGCAACATTGTTGTTGAAAACTTTGTGTAAGAACCATTATATTCTGGTGAAAGATGCTCTCCTTGGCTCCAGCCATCAAAGGTTCCCATAACTTGCACGCTCTGATGGAAAATGAAAGTTCAAACGGGCAAGGCATTAGCAAATATATTCAATTTTTGAAGCCACACTATACCGTAATTACCTCAGCCATGCCAATCCAAAACACGGAAACCTCCTTTGATTGTGCCGCATCGACATCCTTTATTTGTTCCTTCAGTTTTTCATGTACAGCTATGTAGGCAAAACAAGGCATTTGCATCGATAAGGACACAAAAGAAGCCAAGTTGACAACACAATGCTGTGAGGTTTTATTAGTATATTCTAGATAAACATCAGCAACTAGTTATCCGGATCTATAAAATACACTTGTGAATCAGCAAATACCATTATACCTTCTAATCTAGTAACAAGGTGAGAATGAATGTACTTTCCATTGATCTTCCTTGAACCTTCTGGAATACCGCATTGAGCTATTTCTTCTGCTAGTCCAGCTAAAGCCTAACCCCAAAGTAAACCATAAATTATGTCTCCATATGATTCTTATCAGCTTTTAACGTTTAAACAATTACAGAGCAGCAAAAGAATTCAGAGAGGAAGGCAAGTATGAAGCATACTACAATTACCAATGCATGACTGAAGAGCTCAATAACTGATTGAGTGGAGAATTAAACTGCAATTAGTCCGCTGGATGATATTCTTTTACTCCTGATCATCTTATACATATAATCTAGCTTTAATTATTAAAAGGTTCATCAAATAAATGTAATTGTTAAAATAGTTTTATAATTTACAATCAGCCTTTTTTATCCATATATTTTCAGACACAAAACTTTGATATTATACATTAAGTTATCAGTTCAACATTATAGAAGCTTTAACAAAATTTTAAATTAATATTATCCTATGATAACTTGATTTATGATTTCAATATAGATGACTTGGAGTTCTTTTGACGATAAAAAAGAGTATAACAGTACAGCAAGCACACGAAGGAAGAGTATTCCTGAGGTGCAACTTCTGTATGAAATGAGAATAGAAGAGAGAAACTTCCACGAAAAGTCCTGTAAAATTTCGTGAGGCGGTTCTTAAATCAGTAGTAATTAAGATACAACAGAGTAGTGAAAGGTATACAGTATACTCATTCAGTTAAAAAATATGAGAACTCTAAGTCACCAAATATCTAACCAAGAAAAGTTGGCAATATATAACAGCATAAAAAGGGAGAAGGTAGATATAAATTGAACCTGAATTTCAAGCTCCATGACTCCAAGTTCACTTTTGAATTTTACCAATGCATCCTCCTTTACTTTCAACTGCAGAGAAAAAAAGCCGGTACAGGATGTTAGTTCAAGGAACTTTATCATTCATACCCATGAGTTCAATAATAAATCATCACTATGTCCAAGTGATGCTGATGATGACAAAAAAACAGAGGAATGTCAGATAAGTCTATTCCAAATACACCCCATCAGCTTTTGTCAATAGATTATGCAACAATGATAGCTTTTAGAAATCAAATTCAAACAAGTTTTTGAGCATTAACCACTTAATGTAAACGGACTATTATAATTATGAAAAGAATTTATAAAATTCACCATTCCCTCCAGGTAGGCATATTTTCCAAATGTCATGACATCCAGTCGTACCACATTGTCCTTTTTATCCACTTATTTTACCAGCAACAAAACAAAAGCATTATCCTGCTTTATTGACTTCATACATAAGATGCAATATCCAGATTGAGTTGACTAAATCCATCCCGTGGGCATATTATGCCATCAGTGCATCGTCTTCCCAATGAATCATCTATAGGTTGGCACAAATAAGATTTCCCTACTTTTTATAAAAGGATGTGATCCAACTTTGACCATTTAGGCAATTAGCATAAATTGCAAAAACAGGAAACATCACTATCATTAAGAAATTTGCACTTTGGTTTCAAAGTAAGCGCAATGCAGAAGATATCAAATATAATGCAGAACCTGTCTTTTTAGAAACCGATTTTGCTGGTTGGCTTCACTAAGCTTCTTAATGAGTTGTTCTCTCTGTGCGTCAGTAAGCAGTGCCATTATCTGATTAACAAGGTTTGAAACAGAAGATCTAAGTATGACATATTAATTTCAAGTTGCAAACACACGCACAGAAAGAATGTATCTTGAACAAGTGTAATCACCCTGGCCAAAAACATACTAACCATTTCTTAAAATGTGAGATGATTTAAGTCCATTAAAGTGAACACAAACTGAACATGCAACTTCACATTATTAAATTATCTCCCAAAATAATCACACAAAGGAAGTGAAAAAACACAATTAGTCTTGGCTATTGCAATCTCTTCGAAATAACTACACAAAATAAAGGTGTTTGTTTAATTTTTGGAACTTAGAGAACCATTTCTTCGGGTTTGATTTCTCCTATTTTAGAAAATAATACCCCAACAAAAAATAAATGTGAGACCTATTTAAATAATATTTCACCAAAAAAACTCAACTTCAAAACTTGAAATAGTTTCTCTTTATTAGCTTTCCTTGATCCTTACATTTGATTTGTCCCAAGTCTATTTGTTGTTCTGCATCCCCATGAAAGAAGAATATTAACGGAGAATCAATTTTTTTAGAGGATAAAGTAATATAAGGTGGCGTTTCAGGATAAATAAAGACTGCTCACCTCTCAGCATCAGAAAAAAACACAAAGCCAAGTAAAGGAAAAATGCACAAAGAAAATAACACCACAGGGAGTGAAGGATTCCACGCCTGCTTATTTTTCACTTTTTCTTACGCAAGCATGATAGAAGTTAATCAGTTCCTTATTTTATTACTAAAGATAGGCCAAACTAGGTCTTTAATAGAATACAAATAGAGTAATAGACTACAATCTAAACAACTTCCCAGATTATTTTCACAGAGAAGCAAACTGAGACAAAAGTAGATAAAGAGAATTGGTTTCAACAGTGTGAAGGATTTTTTATAGCTCACAAGATACATCGATACTTCAAAGGCCATGCTAAAAATAATCTCAAAACAATGGCTTAATCTGCTCTAGAAAACGAGAAAAATAAGATAGACAATTAAGAAGCATTTCTTCAATTTCAGCTGTTTTCAAAGTTAAGAACATGTATGTAATCAAATGGTAGTTGTGGGATTCCAAAAAGACATTTGTAAGTTGGATAAAGAATACCTGTTCACGGGTAGGTGGTTGTGCCAAAGTCTCCTCTTCTGAGTCTATAGATGGATTCTCACCTTCAAGCGAATTATCTCCGTAGGATGCAGATTCCTGTAAACTAATCGGCATAGAGTTTGGTCTACAGATTAAATGCCTTTTAGGATACACCGAAGTAAAAGCTTGACAGGAAGAGGCCAGTCTGTGAAAGTCCTGTGTAGAACTTAAGGCAGCCACAGTACATGGAGGTTTCTTAGAGCTTTCCCATGCTATTGTTCTTGAAATATTTGAAAAGAATACTCCCCGTGTTTCAAGATGAGGCCTACTCAAGTTATGAAAGAATAATATGGTGATTAGTATCTCAACTTGAAACATGACAATAATGTATAACAACGTATACAATTCACCAAAAGCAAAGACTACTACTTTACAATACCCCTCCTCCCCAGAAAAAAGACCTTCCATTTTCTAGGGTTAGTGGGAGGACCAAAGGAGAGGGAGCATGTGGAGGTGGCATTAAGAACAATGATAGTGCTTCACACATCCTCAAGGTTAATTCATTATTATATATTGTGTGGTCATACCTTGCAATACTTATTTCCATTATGAAGTGATTGTTACTTCCCCTGCCAAAAAGAGAAAAGAAAAAAGCAGAGCATCAGGACCTGTTGAAGCAGATATGTTGAATCAACAGAGTAACTCTGCAAAACCAAAATGTCAGGATAAATTACCTAAAGGGAACACATTAAAAGAATTCTGAGAAAGGTATTTCGAATCATGTTAAACTGTCAGGTTCCACCACTTATAAACCAAAAGTTAGAAAAGGTTCATATCAAATCACTTGAATTAAAATAATTTTTTTAATTTCTAAAAGAATATTTTTGTTGAATCTCACCAAGGTGATCCAGCCCAATTAAAATGTATAGGAACTAATTACCTTTCGGAAATTGAATTCAATGATTGCAAATAATTTAAACTATCAATAGAGAAAACTAGGTTGTGATGACAAGATTTATCCTCAGTGTCGAGTAGCTCAGTTTCACATCTATCAGGTATCAATAATGTCCCAGTCCATCAACATAACAAACTTCTTTTTCCTTCATGGTATAGCTCATTGTTCATAAAAAATTCACACTTAAATTGTCATGACTTACTCTATAAACATATCAGTCACGTTGATAAGATTTCCATAGTGCCCCGTAACATTCTTAAAACCCAGAGATTCTTCATCCGTAAGATACAATAACGAAACCTAACATCAAATGAAGGTGCTTACTGATTCTTTACTTCTTTATTTAACTCATTGTTAGCTGCTAATTATCAAGGATACATCCCTCTACTAAAACATATCATCCACAGTTAACAGTGAACTCTAAAAGGGAGTTTTCAGCACAAAAGGTACTCTCCGACAGGAAACCAGATTCACAAACTTCCTCCATGGAAGGAGCCACTAGTCCCCTTACATACAGATAATTTCACAAACAGCAATTAAAACTATTTGGCATAAAGATACCCAAAGCAAAGCAATTTACAGTATTAGAAAGCACACAAGTATGTGAGGCCCAAATATCGACAACAGGAAGTTTTCACTGTTTCCAGCCAATACTTTTTTCAGACTAAAAAACTCCAATCCAAAGTCCTATTCCACAAAATTTTACCATGGAAGTCTACCGAAAACTGAAGTTCCTTTGCCCTTGAATGAATTGAGTATTCAGAAGAATGAATCATATTGCATAGTGCGATATGCGAACAAAACCAAACATAATTGAGGATCAATGATGCTTTGGGTAACAACTAGTGGATGTCCCTATTGATAATAAATTACACCCTATTTTGCAGAAACAAAAGTAATTAACAAACAAAAATCTACCAGTTATTAGTTGATGAGTGAAACTTTGTGTAATGTAAGCACTTACACACAGAGAGAGTGAAGAATAGGAGTAGATGGTTGAATCCCTTATGGTGTGCAGTGAAGTTGCTTCAGATCACACCGCTATGGTTCATGTTTACTCTTTTATCAAGGCCAATAGTGTTAGTGATTTTTGTGGCCAGAGGGTTGAAGTGACACCGTTATTATAGAATATGAAATTTAGAAAATGAATGCGCAATGTAATCAGCACGTTGGGTTTTGCATCATCGAACGGTGGAGGATTTACCATGTGGTTTGGCTTCTTCTTTGTTGAAAACAGTTTTAGTTTGTGGTTTGACTTCTTCTTTGCTGAAAATCATCTAGGTGTAAAGCTGATTATTTTTTCACCCTGAAGATGATTGTTTATGCTTGATATTTTAATATATTCATAATTTGCTATACATAAGCCCATGTTATTGACTATTATGATTATCTTATAAAACATAAGGTTCACTTTGTAGGAAATGTGATCTTTGTTTTATAAGTTGAAAAACATTAACATGGATTCATAATGGAAAATAAATGTATTTCCATCAATTATTCATGGATAAGGATTTAATTATATCTTTTTACATCTCAATTCTCTGTAAAATGTAATTTTATGATCTTCTATAATTTAATGATTTTCTTGGGACTCAATTATGTAAAGATGATATTTTATTATTTTCCTGAAACTCAAACATATCGCTAAATGAAAATATATGTGGGAATGATATTTTAAGTTCCAAAATTAAAAAAAAAAAAAAAACATATAAAGTAAAGGTGATATTTTTACTCTAAAATTGGCATGTGATTTACTTAAGTATATCATATAAACCATATAGTACCAATAAATGTCCAAACAATCAATATAGAAAAAACTGATATATGACTAGCGATTAACATAGTATGTGCAAAATCTATATGCTACGTTTCTTGCACATTATTACACGGAACTAGGAGATGATTCTAAATTACAGCTAGGGAAACAAGCTCTCCCATTCTTCTTCACTAATTACTACTAATTGCAACACCATAGTTGTGGGAAAGAGTAAAAGGTAGCATAATATAAAACATAAGGTGTTGCTGGTTTATGAGGCTGCAAGTCTAAACTTTACAATATGTCAAAGTCTTGGACTGTGATCTAGAGATGCCTTGAACCAGGAATGTCAATCCAATTCAACTGGAGTTCCACCTCCCCACACTCTACATTTCTTAGTCTAAGAACCAGGTTTTGCACGACTTTGTCATCCTTCCACACAATGTGACTCTCTTCAGCTAAGCAGTTTTGTCTGCTAGGCAACACTTTTGTAACTATGGTATTGTTGGGGAGACCTGTCAAGCGCATCTTCACTGCTTCAATGAATGGACCAATGGAAAAATCAGCATCCCCCATTTTGTCATCTAAGCTGAATGTGTCCTTGTCATACACATGCTGCATCAAAACACAATAACATTATTGTTAGTTTTTGCTGATATATTGAATTAATTCATATCTCCATGATCTCCCCTGTGCACACCAAGCAACAAACAAGACTAAGCATTGTTTCAGAAAAGCACTCATAAGTTATTGTTCATAGACCCCAAAGTTCAACATCTTTGTGCTATGACAATATTCGTATGATTGCTTCAGATGGTCTGTCTATGAAGCTTTAATTTTGTACCCAAGTTTTGCTCTCGGGTATTGTATTGAAATTTGAAACACAGACATTATAGAAAGAGTTACTTACTAAATGGACTGGAGCATGAGGATCTGAAATAGACAGGGTCAAGTCATCATTCCATTCAGGATTTAAATTCTTTTTAACCACCCGAGTCTTCAGCTTCTGCATGAGACATAAAATGTAGCAATGAGATGGATGTGTAGACAACAACAACAAAAAAACAAAAGGTTTCATTCTGCCCTCTACTATTTAATGTCATGTAACAACCCAAAACTTGAAAAAACACAATTAGTTACACGGAATATTCTAACTACTGCGGTAGACAGAAATGTAGGACATCCACTTAATTAGCCAATACATACTAACTTTTCTGCATATCCATATTTAAGTTATTGAGTTGTAATGACTAGAGCAGAATCTAGTTTTAGTGAAAAAAACCAACAAAAGAAGACAGAAAAGGCTACTTTGGGATGTACACAGAAATTTTATCCTCACTTTTTTATTAGAAAGCAACTGCAAAAAATAAGAGAAGAGGGTCAACACTCATTTAGCTGTCCAAAAACAGCTTAGACAAAATTATTATAATTTATATGCCGGCCACATCCATGAGTGTAAGTTTTTAACTCAAAGTAAACTGTTTGTTGAAAATATTTTAATATTTTCAAGGTTTCATATCTTCGTAACAATTCTTTATTTATTTTAATCTGTCATTACTGGACTTGTTGGTTTGGCTTATCTTCCTCACTTACTGTACAGGCAAGTTGCAAATTTTCAGATTTAGTCTCTAGATGGAAGGATGTAAGGGTGGGAGACTATTCCAACTTGAATTAGTCAATTTCTCTAAAAATTGTTGACTTACAGATATATTATATATTATGTTAATGGTTTTAAATTCATCTTGTTTTCCAACAAAGTTCTAGAACCATCTATGGCGGATAGTGAGAAAAATGAAATAGATACTCCATTTTTAGTCAAGAAAAATGAGCATGCATCAGAGTCAGAGCTGCTAACAAAAGAGGGGAATGAGAAACAGAGAATAAGATGAAAGAAGAACAAGCGAAAAAGGGATTAAGAATAGAAAAAGGAAATCAAGAGAAAAAATAACAGAACAAGTCAACACCTTCAGGAACATGTCCCAGAAACAAAAGATGAAAGAAAGTGAGAAAATTGATGATAACAAAAGTGGAGAAAATGGTACCTGCTTGCCCATTTTGATGACAACATAAGGATCACTGCTCATCACATCCCTGATTGCCAGATTGACACCTTTCTCAACATGAATTCTCAGCAGACCCAGCAAGTTCTCCATAACTAAATGTGTGAGGAAAAGAAGAAAAATGGAATTTTTCAAGACAGAGCAAATGGTAATAGGAAACCCCTAAACCATGAGCAAAGTGGTTGAAGCTATTTATAATACAAGAACTGTGAAAAGTTCTCTCTGCTATTTTTTATTATTGTTCTTTTATGACTAGTTCTCCTCTCCTTTACTGCTACACAAGAGTTTTTATTAATCTTTTCTCTTGTTTACTTAGGATCTTTAGAAACGGTAAAAATCACAATACTTTCACTTTCAATTAATTTGCTAATAATTAAATAATTTCTTTGATACTCTTTAAATCAATATTATTTGGTGCAACCTCATCCAGATTAACACTAAAGAAGAACAAGTCTTTGGTAAATTAAAAAAAAAAAACATACACTGTCATTTAATTATAATTTATGTTGCCAGTAATGTTTCCTAAAAGTCACAATAATTTCACTTTTAATGATTTAATTTAATAATAGTTAAATAATTTATCTGATACTCTTTTAGATCAATACTATTTGGTGTGACCGCGACCTCATCAAGCATGATAAGTCTTCCCGAATTATAAAAAGATTATGTTGTTATTTAATTATAACTTATAAAAGAAAAAATCACATTCACATTTAATTATAAAATAGATATTAAAAATAAGTGAAAGAATCTCATGTTGTGAGACAATTTAACAATGTTACAAGGGAGTTAATAATATACAAGGATGAATTCTTGTGAATTTATTGTAAAAAATTTCAAAAAAATTATAGTATAAATCTTTTGAATGGAAAGTGATTTGATATATTTATGATTTGCTGATATCAAATTTTTCAATATATCATTTGAGTATGAAATAATTTTAAATGTGATTAACTTAAATTGTAAAATAAAGTAATGTTATTACACTGTGAGTTGCATTTATATCTTTTTAGTTATATTAAATATGTGAAAAATTTTGTTTCAATTTTATTTTATTAATTAAGTTTTAAAATTATATATATATTTTTTAAAATAACTATATTGAGTATCTAAAATTTTTATATTTTTATTTCAGTTATTAATTTAAAAATATATATATTAACTATTTATAAAATTTATATTTTTTAATTGAATTTCTATTATTATTTGAAATAATTATCTATTGTGTAGTTTCAAGTATAACATTATAAATTTAGACAATAAAATTAGATGATAAATATAATAAATTCTTTTAAGATAAGTTAAAGTCAAAGTATCCAAATTTTAAAAAATAAAATTTAATTATATCATTTAAAATGTAAAACAACGCTCCAGATAAAATCAGTCAATAAAAATTTAATTAAAAATATAAAATTATTAACATTAAATAAAATAATTTCTTTTTTAATTTCTTAATTAAAAACTCCAAAATGTAGAATTGAATTAAAACTTAATTAATTTTTTAAAGTAATTGAAAATCGGATCCAAATAGTATTACTACTAGGGCAGAATTAAAAGAAATAGAATAAAATGGAAAGTGGGAAGCGTTTTCTGTACTTGCATACACGTTTTTTTCAATTTTTTTCCTTTTTCCAGTAATTTGTCCACGTTTATATTAAAATTTCTGGTATTTAAAACAATTTCAAACAAACATATTAGAAGTGAAAACAGAAACAAAGTAAAAAGATGAAGGATCTTTCTTTGTATTAATTTTTAATTCTTTTTTTTTGTCTTTTTCTTTTTGGCAAATTTATTCATTAACATCAGAATGTACATATCACACCTCAATTTGATGTGGATGAATGTACACCTAAAAGGTTGATGAAATAAAACTCTGAAACTTTCAAATATATTTTTGTTGTTTTCAAATGGAATTTGATGTCATAAATTATGCACATGCCTTATCAAATTGTCCAGCCATCCAGTAGGACCAAGATACTCTTAATTGATGATAGATATAAGTAGCTGGCACTCATTTCGCTTTCTTGTCCTTTAAAGTTTCACAGCTTTGAATTTTTTTCAGATAATACTATTTTTTAATAAAATAAATAAATAACATATTATTTTTGTTTAATATTTATAATCAGAATTTAGTAAAATTTTATTCAAAGTAATATGATTTGTAAGGATCTATAAAATTTTATTCAAAGTAATATGATTTGTAAGGATCTATAAATTTTATTAAAAGTCATATATTTAAAATGAAGTATTTTATTATTAAAGTATAAATCTTATAAATAAAAAAGTTAACTATTTAAATATTTTTTCAGAAAAAATTATTATCTTTCTGAAACACTTTTTGTTTATGTTATCTATATTCTCTTTATAAATATACTTATCTTTTATAAATCACAAAAGTTTGAAA